TACTATTCTGATTGAAATTTAAATAAAAGAGAAAAATCTAGACGCTAAATGTACCTACGCCTCGATATTATGTTTGTGTTTCCGCATATTTGTTTGCATAAGGATATGTAACATTTGTTATTTCAATGTCACAAATTATTGAGTAAGAGCTTTTTAAAGTTTTGGAGATATCTTTTGTACCCACAAGCGCGTTATATAGCATAGTGGGTTCTGAATTTCTTTCAAACCTACTTCATATAAGAATACCTTTGAATTTTTTTGGTGTAATTTTTTGACATTTAAACAAATACAGACAAACAGACAAATTTTAGTTATTATTAGTGATACAGAGGCCGAACCTATAATTTTTAGAATTTTTGTCTGTCTGTCTGGGATCGCATCACGAGAACAGAACAAACAGATTTTGATGAAATTTGATATAATGATAGCTGGTTATCTGGATCAACATATAGGATACTTTTTACTGCAGGAAAATATCTCATCTCTAAGAAATCTATGCTAAACGTTAAAACGTATCTAGGGACGAACCCGAGCGGAGCGAGAGTGAGCAGCTAGTATTATTACAAATACAAAAAAAAATACATAGCTAGGCTAGCGTAGCTTGGCTAACTTGCTAATATTTTATATTTGTTCCTACTTAATTTCAATATCTATAAATAAATAAATATTAAAATATTTTCAAGCATAAACTTGACATTTAATTTTTTTCTTTATTACTTACTTGTAGTAAAAAATAAATAAATCAATTCGTAAATGCAGAATGCCTCCAGCGATGCTATTTTTATTTATCTCTTCATAATGTTTCGTTATGTAACATTTAAAAGTGTAATATATTCTGGTTTCCGTGATAGCTTTCTTGAACTTAAATTTAAACTAAATAACTTACTTAATCTTCTTGTACCTGGGCTACCGAGTTATGCTCGGATTTTTGGCCTAAAGTAGAATTTTCTTTTTTTTAAACTAAAAATTTGAATAAATATTAAAAAAAAAAAAACAAAAGTAAAAACTTTGTATGCGATCGAGATTCGAACCTGGACACCTGTAATTGTTGATCTTGCACCTTGCACCTTGGCCGCTTGACCACGATGCTTATGCCCGAGCGTGCATATATATATATATATATATATATATATATATATATATATATATATATATATATATACTTTCTTACTAGAAAACTCGTTCATATTCAAAAAGGTACTGCGCTTTGATATTTTGTTTCAATGTGTGCTGTTTGTTACTAAATAATTTTAAATGGGGTGTCTGGCATAGACATCGGAGTATCTATTCTAGAGGTCGCTGATCAGAGTTCCACTTGAGACGAATTTTTATGATGTCCAACAAAGAATTTGTTCTTGAATGATAAAATGTAAAGCGTTATTTTCTTATAGTGAAAGAAAGATATTTGAATGCAAGGACAAATATTTCTTATTAATGGCAGTATTTTAGGTAGATACCTCAAAGAACTGACTGCAAAATAACAGATTCGATTTTCACTTAGGGACATATTTGTTTTTATTCATTATAAAAATACTTCAAGCTGTCAGAAACTAGTTTATTCAAACTAGCATTAGAGTTATACTTTACATCCATATACGATACTGGCGTGAAGTGTAGATACTTTTATACATCCTTATAAACTCGTACTCAACCCATTTTAACGTCCCACTGATGGGCAATGGCCTCTTTTTACCGCAAGAAAGATATAAATATATATATGTAGTCATAATCCACCACGCTAGCCAAGTGCGGGTTGGCGGACTTCACATGTCTTACAAAAACTTACTTTATCATCTAACAGGAGGTAAAAATATAAAGAAATAAAACAATACATTACATATTTTAGCAACATTTTTTTATTAATTTAAGAATTCCACAATGGAACAATTTATTTTCCGTATAATATCTATACCTAAGTCAGATTGTAGGTACGTGTAGTGGGATTTTTTACGCAATATTCATATAATTAGTGCACATGGACTATTATAGTACCTGTATCAAAGTTCG